TCCATGCAAAAGCTAGCCCTTTAAATGAACTATTGCAATTTATGATAACCTTCAAGAGCCGATGATATTCTGAGAGAATTGACTTATCTCGCAATCTTGCAAAATCTCAGCAGAAAGTCTTCTGTTTTCTTCATTTAGAGTTCTATGCTTATACATTGTTAACTACTACACTTTGATCGTTTCTTTAATGATGAAGCTGAGGGACTTGGAACACGAGAGAAAAGTTCTTGAGGTAGGTTTGGCCATTCCGAGACGCCCTCAACTGAATAACTACATTGCAAGAGATACAGGCTAGTAACGCTGCCCTCGATAATGTTCAAAATATGATTAAATTCAGGAAACTGCTGCACTGCAATATGTCAGTGGTTTTCGGCCAATCACTCGCAACAGGTGAATCATAATGACAATTTCTTTGAGCATGAATGTTCACCGTAGTATTTTTTTTGATATTTTGGTGCTTTTTTTGGTAGGCCTTGAACGCTCGCAGTAAACAAAGATAAGTCTACTTTCCTCTAACTTCAGAACGCTGCGAGATGTACTAAAGCATACTGTCTCCGCGCACATGTCACCGCACACTACACCAGCGCCTCCGTCTCCGTGGACAACAGTAAGATCACCCAATTTTTAGTTTCGCTTTTTTAATGACAGGAATAGATGACCTTGATTACAGGTTTTTTCTGACTACGGCCCAATGGGTGTATCAAATCCAAAAGCCCTAGTCTCAAAAGACACTTCTCTTCACAATACCACCATAGTGGTGACCCATGCTATTGGACCAAGTGCTTCTTTTAACAGCCCGGAATCTAGTAATTACACAACATATACGTAAGTTTAGAAATGATATTGCTCGGGTCCAAGGTGGGTGTAATGAGGAAAGTTTTCAAGATAGCTGCACATTATTTCACATTCTGTCCCACAATTTGCTTTTCTAGACGTCATTATCGTTCGTTGACAACAAGGGTTTCTAAAAAAATTTGCTGTTTAGTCTGGCTACTCGCTAAATTTGTAACCATTCACAGAAAGCCATCGCATTTTTGTTGTGAACTCCTGTAATAGACTGTTAATTAAGAGCACTGCAATACCGCTCATAACTTCTGCAAAAAAAAAAAACGTGATTTCGCCTAAAAATCCATGGCAAGCATCGCATCGTCATAACTTTTTAATAGATATCTT